TAATGCCAACTTTAGCGGATAGAGGATGTCGCGTGGTCAGCGCTACGAGTCCCCACGGTCGTTAATCTCGGTTTTCCAGACCGGAGCCGCCATTTCCTTGAAATAGCTTTTCAGTTATCCTCACGAGGCTGAGTGAACCGCGTTCCAGACTCACTACTTCTCAGAAAATTTTGTAGCACCGGGAAACGAACCTGGGACCTCTGGATCTGTAGCCAGGAACTCTGACCACCAGACCACAGAGGCAGTCAAACGTTAACATACTTTATGAATTTAATAATACTATTGTTACGTATAGACCAGTTGCTAAGCTATGACTCTGTAAACAACGACCGTTTCTGGGTAACGGCTCAGTAAACACGTTCCTGCGGCCAAGAATACGTACGAAACAGGAGTTACTGTTGGAAATGGGGTGTTCCTACGTGGTCCGTGCTGAGATGTTATAAGCACATGACGAAGTCAGTAGTTAGGCAGTTGTGTACGGGAGGTTTTGAAGAAAAAGTTAGTTGCAAGTGTGCTCAGCTGACGACCGGCTGTGGAAACAAGATTTTATCTGATATTTGTATTGTGTAATTAAGTTAGACTCTTATAATTGCTGTTTTAAAATCTGTTACCAGGAAACGACTAGTGGAGGCTGTAATAAGCTGAGGACATTGGTCTATGTGTGTCAGTGTTCTGTAAAGTGTACTCAAGAGTCGTGAGTGTATAAGTGGTCAATAAACTGTGTGACCAATTCAAACCCCGTCTCTAGTCACTGATACACATGACAGTATGTAATATCCAATAGTCATAAAACATAAAAAATGTAGCTTTTTAAACAAGCCTTTGCTTTTCATGCTACTTTCTTCTTAAAGAGCTCTCCCACATAAACAAGAGTAATGAATTAACAACGCGCTCTGTTTCTTATAAGAAAGACGCGCCTTGAAGTCTCATAAGACATTCTTTTGCTATCTCGTAGGCGCTATTTCAAGGGAAGCCACAAAGAGCTTCAGTTGTCACGAGATGACAGTGCAGCTTATTTTCAAACATAGGCCTATAAAAGCAATCAGAATTACCCGTTGAAGAGTGCTATCTTCTGAGATATAGTGCTTTTAGCCCGTTGAAAGCCAACGGACAATCAGTGGATTACGTGGAATTACTTCCCAAAAGATAGATCCGTCTAATAAAACTCTGTAAGGACCTCAAATCCTATATTACGTAAAGAATTTTTCCTTTAAAGTATTGAACTTAAATAGACAGTGACTAACATAAAAAGTTGTCCCTGTACTTAACTAATTAAGCGCTATGCCATTAAGGCGTATGG